TTTCACCTGGTACATCATGTCTGGATTTTAACAAAAATTACAAGCATACTAAAAGGCAAAAAATACAGTTTGAAGAGATTGAACAAGCATCAGAACCAGAGTCAGATGTGGTAGGAATGCTGGAATTACCATACTGAGAATTTTTAAATGACTGTGATTAATAGGCTAAGGACTTTAATGGAAAAAGTGGACTGGGATGCCTGGGTGACTCAGCAGTTGAGCGTCTGCCTTTGGCTCAGGGCATGATCCTGAGGTCCAGGGTCAAGTCCTGTGTCAAGCTCCCTGCGAGGAACCTGCTTCTCCCTCTGCCTGTGTCTGCCTTTCTCTCTGTGTCTGCCATGAATAAATAAATAAAATCCTAAAAAGAAAAGTGGACAACATACAGCAACAGATAGATAATGTAAGCAGAGAGATGGATATTCTAAGACCCAAACAAAAATAAATACTGGAGATTAAAAACACTAACTAATGATGAATGCCTTTGATGGCCTCCTTGTAGATTGGATATGGCTGAGAAAAGAATTTCTAAGCATGAGGATATGCAATAGAAACTTCCAAAACTAAAAAGCAAAGAAAAAAAAAAAGACTGAAGAAAATGGAATATCCAAGAATGGCAGGATAACTGCAAAAAGCATAACATATGTAATGGGAATACCAGAAGAAGAAAGGAACGTATTTGAAGTAATAATGATGGAAAATTTCTTCAAATTAATGTCTGGCACCAAACTACAGAACTAGGACACCCAGATAACACCAAGCGGGATAAATGCCCAAAAAACCACACTTAAGCATATCATATTCAAGGTAAAAAAGTCTTGAAAGAAATCAGAAGAAAAAACACCTTACCAATAAAGGAGCAAAGATAGGAATTACATCCAACTTCTCCTTAGAAGCCATGTAAATAAGGGAGAAGAGTATAATGTTTAAAGTGTTGAGAGAAAAACTACCAACTCAGAATTCTGTACCCTGAAAAAAATTTGAAGTGAAGGAGAAATACAGACTTTCTCAGACAAATAAAAATTGAGGGAATTTGTAGCTAGTAGATCTGCCTTGCAAGAAGTGTTAAAAGATGTTCTTCAGAGAGAAAGGACATGATATAAATCAGAAATGTGGCTCTACATAAATATAGGAAGAGCACTGGAAGGAATAAATAAGCAGTTTTATTTTTCTTATTAATAACTGGTCTAGCAATAGTTTATTAAAAATAATAGCAATAATGTATTCAATGATGTATGCATGCTTGCATACAGGTTAAATGGATAAAGAAATGATACACAAGGGATGGAATGGGGTTAGAATTAGGAATATTTTGTTATTATGAGGTACTTGCACTACCTGTGAAGCAATAGAGTCATTTGAAAGTAGACATGGATTCATTTAAAAAGTAAAGAAAAAGTATAAATGAAGAAAAGAGAAAATGGAATCATAAATCTTAAAACTACGAAATTCAGGAAAAGTGTGAAAGATAAAAGAACAAGGGCGATAAATAGAAAACAGTAACAAATATGGTAGATATTAATCCAAATATATCAATAATCACCTTAAATGTTAATGATCTAAATACACCAATTAAAAGATGGTGATTATCAGAGTGGATCCAAAAACAGGACCCAAATATATGTTGTCTACAAGAAATTGACTTTAAAATAAAGAAAGGCACTTGGATGGCTCAGTTGGTTGACCCATGGTCTCATGGGTCATGGGATCAAGCCCAAAGCAGCCTCCACCCTCAGCAGGGAGTCCGCTTAAAGATTCTCTCTCTCTATCCCTCCCTCCATTCGCATGTTCTCTCTCAAATAAATAAATAAAATCCTAAAAATAAATAAAGACACAAATAAATGGATAGGAAAAAAATACCATGATAACACTAATCAAAAGAAAGGAGTGGTTATATTACTTTCAGACAGAGTAGACCAGAACAGGCAAAGTTATCAGGGGTAAAGAGGGGTATTTAATAAAGATAAAGGGATCATACTCTAAGATGACATGGTAATCTTTAATGTTTTGTCTAACAACAGAGTATCGAACTATAAGAATGCAAGAACTGATAGAACTGCATGGAGAAACAGGTGAATCCTCTGTTGTAGCTGGAGACTTTAATAGTCTATCAGAAATGGACAGGGGCAGCCCAGGTGACTCAGCCGTTTAGTGCTGCCTTTGACCCAGGGCGTGATCCTGGGGACCCCAGATTGAGTCCCGCATCGGGCTCCCTGCATGGAGCCTGCTTCTCCCTCTGCCTGTGTCTCTGCCTCTCTCTCTGTGTGTCTCTCATGAATAAATAAATAAATCTTAAAAAAAAAAAAGTGGACAGATACAGCAGGCAGAAAAATATTAAGGATGTAGTTGAACTCAGCAGCACCATCAATCAACTGAATATAATTGACATCTCTAGACTACTTTATCTAACAATAGCAGGTTATACATTCTTTTCAAGCTCACATGACTACAAGTAACAGAATCCCTAAGAAAGGCTGCAACTAAGGCCATTTATTGCTCACCTAACAAAAGCCCAGAGGCAAGTATACTCAGGGTTGTTCTAGCAACTAGATGTCATCAAGGACAGGGTTTTATTTATTTTCCTTCTCTGTATTCCTGGTATATCGTCTTATCATCCTGTGGTTATCACCTCAGGATTGCCAAAGATTGCAGTAGCTCCAAGCGTCACATCCAGGCAAGAAGAGAAATTTTAGTTGTAGTCACCTCTGTTGGAAATAGTAAGAAAAGGAATTGAGCAGTAGGGGGAGGTACTGTTTATTTTAGTTTTGTTTTTGTTTTAGGAGATAAAACAAACAAAACAATATGCTATTGGTCTAGATCTTTACACATACTTTTTCCCTTCTGCCTGGCATCTGTGATCTCTGGAACACTTCCTACATCTTGTATCTCTGTGCCTAGTTATAGTACCTGGTACATAGTAAGTAGTAAATATTTTTGAAAGGAAAACAGGCAGAGCAGTAGAGGCAGTGCTACACAACAGGCAGCTAATCTCTCCAAAACATGTCTAAAATCAGGGGAGTTAAGTAATGAAGCAAATCACAATATAGAATGGTAAATGCTAGGATACTGTTAGTTACAAGATACTATGGAAACACATGGGAAGAGTTAGAGAAGATGGCTCAGAAAGAATGATTGTTTAAACTGAGATCTAAAGGATGGTAGAAATAACTAAACCCAGAGGGAAAGAAAGTTTCTTTGTTTGTACTTTAATTTCCACAGAATAAAACAAATACAAAAAACAAATCTCTCCTTTTTGAGGGAGGACAACCTTGAAGAGATTCTAGTGAGAAAAAAAAAAGTGGATGGCAAATAGTAATTGATCATATAGTGTCCATTATTACTAATTTAAAATGTCTTACAACTGTATATTTTCTGTTTCTATTTTTAGTGAAAAAACAGCAAAAATCCAAGACTTCAGTTCTCCTATTCCTATTAAAACTTAATTTGTTTCAGTTTTCACCCTCTCCTACTCTGCAAGTTTTCAGGCATCTTACTATACAAGATAGAAACTCCTCTAATACATATTTTATATGTAGTAGCATGTCAAAACAGAAATTTTGACAAAGCACAATGGAAAGATTGCCAGATTAAATACAGGATGCCAGGTTAAATTTGAATGTTAGATAAACAACAAATAATTTTTAAATGTAAATATAAAATTGCATGGACCGTACTTATACTAAATCATTTGTGTTTTTAAAATATATATATTTATTTGAGAGAGAGAGAGGGAGAAAGTGTGTGCTGCATGCATGAGTGGGTGGAAGGGCAGAGGGACAAGCAGATTTCTTGCCCAGTCTGGACCCTGATGCAGGGCTTGATTCCAGGACCCTGAGATCATGACCTGAATTAAAGTTAGACACTTAACCAACTGAGCCACCTAGGTGCCCCTAAATCATTTTTGTGTATCTGTAATTCAGATTTACCTGGGTGACATATTTTTATTTGCTAAATCTGGAAATACTAACAATAGATACCAGATTTCAAAGAGGAGTGCTAAACTAGGATTTACAAAGTAATTGACTCTTAATCTTTTAACTCACTCTCAGAGTATGAAATGATCAGGGAGAAGAGGACTTTGAGAGCACTCCTACCATTTCTCCACTCCAAGAACTTACCCTGCACTTTGGAGGCCCATAGAATGGGGGCTGATTCAGTCCTTGAAAAAAGGCTAAGGCATTGATTGATTGGCTAGCTGCACAAATAGCAGAAGCAAAGAAGAGGCTGCTGCTGCATTAGGATAAGCCTTCGACCTCAGAGTTTACCTGGACAAAGTAAGCTCCACTGTTTCCTGTAGACTAGATATGGGCCACATAGACACATCTACTTGAGAAAAATGGCATAGGATTGTCTTGGATTCTGTCCAAGAGAACTGCATAAATATGCAAACACATCTCAGTAGAGAGAAGCTAGAGGTATCACGAACATCAGCAACCAGAGGTATCATGAAATGTGTGTGTGTGTATTTAATTAATTAATTTATTTTATTATTATTTTATTTTATTTTCGAGAGACAGAGATAGAGCACAGCTTTGCTTAGCACAGAGTCTAACTCAGGGCTCAATCTCACAACTCTGAGATCATGACCTGAACTGAAATTAAGGATTGGATGGTTAACCGACTGAGCCACCCAGGAGCCCCAGAACAGAAATATATTTGACAGGATCAAGAGATCTGCAGATAAGAGATCTCCAGTGATGGCGATCTCCAAGGAACTGATGAAAGTACCGCATGAAAGAATCAGCTTTAGAAATCTGCCATATCCAAGAAGTGCTGATGTATTGAAAACACAACAGTAATAGTCAATAAGAACTTATCATTTCCCCTCTCTTTTCTCTGGAGCTCTAATCCCTAAAGTTAGCAAGCTAGAAAAATAAGAACAGAAACAGTAGGCCAGGAAAAAAAAGCTGTTCATATCCTCCTTCTCTGACTATAAGTTGTAATAGCCTTAGCTAGAAGAGAGGAGAAGCCTCAACTTTAAAACAAAAGCAAAGTTATACCTGGTTTTGGACATTTTGCTAGCCAGATAAACATCTTACTGAGAAGTTACCAGAGGCAGGGCAAAAACTAGTCCTGTTGAATAAATGTAAAGATGAAATTTCATTTTGGAAAATAGCTTGGCAATTTCTTATAAAAGTTAAACATAACACCTAACCCATCAATTCCACCCCTGGGTGTTTATCTAAGAAAAGTGAAAACTTACATTCACCCCAAAGCCTGTTTGTGAATTTTTATAGCAGTTTTATTTGTTTTTTTTTTAAGGTTTTATTTATTAATTCATGAGAGACACGAGAGACATGAGAGAGAGAGGCAGAGACATAGGCAGAGAGAGAAGCAAGCTCCCCATGAGGACCCTGATGCAGGACTCGATCCTAGGACCTCAGGATCACGGCCTGAGCTAAAGGCAGACGCTCAACCACTGAGCCACCCAGGTGCCCCAATGCAGTTTCATTTGTAATTGCCCAAACCTGGAAATAACTCAAATGTCTTTCACCTGGTAAATGGATAAAAAACTGTGGTACAGCCATACAATGGAATAATACTAGTCAGTAAACAAAAAGAAATGAATTAGAAATAAATATAATATATGGATGAATCTCATAGGAGTTATGCTAAGTGAAAAAGCCAGATTCAAAAGGTTTCATACTGTATACTTCTATTTATAGGGCATTCTGGTAAAGGTAATGTCTAACCTCACACCAAGCACCTGCTTTTGGTAACTCGTTAGTGCTATAAGATGAGGTCAAGTTAGGGAAATAGAAGGTATATGACCAAAGGCCCAATTTCCAAAGTGCTCCCATTTCTTAACTTACCGTGATTTAATGGATGCAAGAGATTTTCTGAAGGTAGATTGAACATCTAATTGGAGTAGCATAGGAATATCTGGGTACCCACCCAGCTGGGCCCAGAGCGAATGTATTGATGTCTTCTCTGTTATTGGGTAGCTTGAAGTAGACAGATCAGCATTCCAGATAGCTCCCATTTGATCTTGTCTAGAGAATCAGAGACACTAATTGAAACTGCCAAACTCTCCTGAACTCCATATCCAATCAAAATGTATGGTTTTTATTTTCTCCTTTTCTCTTCACCACCATCTTGTCCTATAATGCCCTCTCTGGCACTGAAGAACATTAGCTATGCCCACTTTCACTGTGAGATGGATTAAAATAGAGAATTTGCTGAAATAGCTTTTTCTTCCCTGAAAACTGCATTTCCATGACTTTACCTAGTAATCTATTTTAAAACTATCTTCTTAATTTTGTGGAGTATATAAACCATATCCAGACTGTTTTTTTCCCAGCAATGTTCTTTCCCCCTTCCTTCCCAAAGCTTCTACCTTCTTTTTTAAGAAAAGGAAAAAAGTAATGTTTTTAAGCTCCTTAATTCTGTCAAAATAATTTGTTTCATAGTAAGGAAAAATCAGCTTCTTTTTTTTTTTTACAAGACCAGCTTTGTTTTTAATTTATTTTTTTGAAATTGAATAAGTGAGCAAAAGTAAAACAATTCAAATTCAAATAGAACATCACATATTAACAATTATTCCACAAATCTATAAATGTAAATGCTCATGTGATTAATGAATTTAATCTTTCATCTGGAAAAAACTATTGACACTAGTTATGATTCACTTAGATATAAGTTTAAAAGTATGGGGAAAGAATTCTAATACTTTATTCAAAAAGTTCTGCCTCATTCAACCATTTATTTAAAGTCTTTAGCATTCATAATTAATGACATGAAAAAAAATAACACCTAGCTGAATCTTTGTAGTAAGCCCATGCATGTGAAATGAGGCACCCAAGACACATGATAAAGAAGGGATATCATCAACCTGTCTCCCTCCAGGACCATACTTGTCATGTCACCTGTAGGAACAAGAGAGCCCCTGTCTTGGGATTGTTACAAAGGAGAGCCACTAAAGGGAAAACTGGACTTACATCATTCCTGGAAAAGAGCAGATAAGGAGCAGACCAGCATCATTTTTTTTTAAAGGGACTCAAAATTAGATGTTAAGTATTTAAGTAAGAATATATGTAAATAAGCCTCTTGTTAAAATAGCTAAGAAAATTAATACTGCCTTAGACTCTCCACTGTAACATATCATAATTGTGGGGAAGGGGAAGCTCTTGGGCAGGTTAAAAAAAAAAAAAGAGCATTAGGTCCCGCATAGCATCCAAAGAAGGTTCAATGTCAGTCTTTTTCTAGCACATACCGAAATTTCTTGAATGTGTCAGACTTCCTGTCTTCTTCTATTAGCAGCTCTAGGAATGGCTGTTGAACAAATTTGGTAGAGGCAGGTATCTGCTTTTTGTAGATGATCAAAGGGATTGGTTGTCTAAGATTCAGTTTATACATCGTTTGAAGCTAAAAAGAAATAATCAGAAAAGGAAGCCATGGGGATAAAAGGATCAGAGTCTCTAGGAAGATCCTAGAGTTAGCCCTAACTAAACTGAGTTTTCCTTTCCTATGGACTTGCAAATCCATTTCCTCCATCCTCTTTCTCCTCTCCTCCAATCACACCTCCACCTCCAACACACCATTTCAGCTATGTTATATAAAAATCTTGGTCCCGGGGCGCCATGGTGGCGCGGTTGGTTAAGTATCTGACTCTTGGTTTTGGCTCAGGTCATGATCTCAGGGCCCTAGGATTGAGTCTTGCCTGGGGCCCTGCACTCAGCATGGAGTCTAAGACTCCCTGTCCCTCTGCCCCTCTCCCACGTGCTCACTTGCTGTCTCTCCCAAATAAATAAATCTTAAAAAATACAAAAAACAAAAAAACTCCTTGATCTTACATAAACTGTAGTCCTAGTCCTCTCATTTCCTAGCTGTGTGACTTTGGGTTAGTTGCTAATTTTATCTGCCCTTTTCTCCTCATTTCTAAAACAAGGATAATAACACAAGGTGGTTGTGAGTGCTATATAAGAGTGTATGGAAGTACCTCATGAATTGTGAAGCACTATGCAAGTCTAATGATACAGGTAAAACTTACTGAATATATGCTTAATATAACATGCTTTTTATGTATTAATTCATTTGGCATTTACAACAATCTCACAAGGTGAGTACTGTTGTTATCCTTGTCTTACATATGGACATCTGAAGCTCAGAAAATTTAGATCTTGCCCAAGGTCTCAGGGAATATATGTTGAAACTGTTTTGAACCCACACAATCTGGTAGGAGAACCAACCTCTTGACCAATGTAAGGTATTTATTAATTTCTACCCTCTTCTCCCTTTTGCTTTTTCCTCTCCCTTCTTATACCTTGATAACCACTTCATCATCTAGACTGTGGATCCCCTGACCCCACACCCTTATTCATCCTCTGAAATGTCCTCAATATTGTGATTCCTATTAGATAGTTCATGACACTGCCAACTCAGCTCATTTTATTCCACCTACATTGGCCATATTTTCTAAACCAAAACCTCAAAAATATCTTTTTTTTTCCTGTTAAAGAGCTTTAATATTTAAAATATAACTGTTCTGGAAAATTCAGAATACGTCTGATTTGGATCAGGCTATGATGAGAAATCTCTTTATATCTTCTAAAACATCAAGTAATTTTATAAATTAATTTAGTGAAAGAAAAGGATATATAGATATAAAATATTCCTAGCATGCCAAAAATGTTCCAGAACTCCATGCTGGAGCATGTAATGGGAATATATAATCTCAGAGCAAAGAACTGTAATCTCAGTTTACAACTTTTTGGAAGGTCACTATCACTCCCCAAAGCATACAAATGGTTATCTCAGATGAGCTCTAGGACATAATGAGTGGATGTCAGAGTTTAATAGGATCTTCTGTGCCTGGTGCTATGTAAGCAAGTTAAATAAACTCTTATGTCTATTGTTATAAACTCATGCTATTAAATTTTGCTTTCAGATAGTTTTTTTAAAAGATTTTATCTCTAGTAATCTCGACATCCAATGTGGGACTCAAACCCATAACCCCAAAATCAAGAGTTGTATCTTCCACTGACTGAGCCAGCTGGGCACCCCACTTTCTGATAGTTTAGAGGAGAGAAATAACCATGAATGAATGAATGAATGAATGAATGAATGAATAAATAAATAAGACTTTAAGAGGTTTAAGAGGTTTCATGTCTAGAGGCTGGTAGATGTGGGTTGACTAGGAAAGAGTTGAGCATTTCTGGAAGTCTTCTCTCTTCTAATCTTTTCCCAGCTAGAGAGTCCAGCCAGGATCCCTGTTGTCAATTTAAGAGTTTTCACAGAGGTCATGGTGTACTGGCTTGAATGGTGACTCCTCAAAAGATAGAGTGTGACCTTATTTGGAAAAAGCGTCTTTACAGGTGTAATTAAGGATCTCAAGATGAGGATGCCTGAGTGGCTCAGTGATTGAGCATCTGCCTCCAGCTCAGGGCGTGATTCCGGGATCTGGGATGGAGTACCTCATTGGGTTCCTTGTGGGGAGCCTGCTTCTCCCGCTGCCTATGTCTCTGCCTCTTTCTCTGTGTGTGTCTCTCTTGAATACATAAATAAAATATTTTTTAAAAAGTTTTTAAAAAAAGGATCTCAAGATGAGAGCATCCTGGATTAGCCAGGTAGATCTTACATCCAATGACACATGGCTTTATAAGAGACAGAAGAGAAGACCTAAGACATGCTGGGAAGAAGGCCAGGGGATGGACAGAAGCAAAGATTAGAGTTATGCAGCTATCAGCCAAGGAATGTCAAGGCCTGTCAGCAGCTACCAGAGTCCAGGAGAGAGGCATAGAAAAATTTCTCCTTCAGAGATTCCAAAAGGAACCAACCCTGCCAATCCCTTAATTTCATTAACTGGCTTCCAGAACTGCAAGAGAATGTAGTTGTGTTGTCTTAAGCCATCGGGTTTGTGGTAATTTATTACAGCAACCCTAGGAGACTAATATACATATTTTCTCTAGGTAAATGTTATTTTCCAAGTTTACCACTTTCATTTTTCACACAATACGCTGGTCAGAGGGAAAACAAGTTACCTGGCTAAATAAGGACATCATGTTCCTCAGGCACTGATTCCGTTTGTGCTCTAAAGATTTCTGCTTGTCAGTCCAGACCTGCATCACCTTTTTCTGGTAGTCATCAATTCTGCTCAGCATTATGTAGAGGTTCTGGGTCTCATAACCTTTCCCAGTGTTTTGGACAGCTTGTAATCGTCTGATTATGTTGTTTCTTGAAAAAAAAATAAGAATGAGGTTAATATAACAACTGACCCTAATTCAGCAAACCTGGGCCTAGTTACTTTTAGTTCTCATCCTTAGTAAGTAGAGAGGGATGTGATAGGGGTGGGAGGCTTGCTTGATGAGACCTTAATTTGGTTCCTTATGTGACAATTTTCAAAAATCTGTGACAATCAAGTTTTCATTAACTTTAGAGTTTTTTAGTGTTATATCATTATTTTACTATATTAAAATTTTAGTATTACTATGTATAAGACATATAAAAGATACTTAATACAATTGTGAAAAAGACATTGTCCTTGCCTTCAAAGCACTTACAAGCCAGAATAGGAGACTAATCAATTGCCTGTGCCACAGAGAATGAAATAAATGCTAAATAGAAATATAAACATGCTGTTGGAGCAAAAAGGAGAGCATAATTCATACTAACAAGAGGAATAAAACAGCCTCATACGAAGATGTTGCATAGGATCTTGAGAAACAGTCATAAAAATATGCTTTCTCTACTCTAACGGATATCACTATGTTTGAGCCTTCTGAACAGATAGTGTTTTGCCATCTCTGTTCTACAGAAAAGAAAAGGGAATCTGAGCAAAGTTAAGTAATTTTCTGAAGTTACATAATTAATAAGTATCAGATTTGGGAAGCAAACCCAAATCTTCTCTCTCTCCATAATATCAATATTTCTCAAAATGTGGACCCTAATCACCTGGATTGAATCATCTGAGTAGGGATGACGGAGTGATGGTGGTGCTTATTAAAAATGCAGATTCCAGGGTACTTTCCTAGACCTTTTTTTTTCCATATCATTATTTTTAATGTCCAATGTTTATAATATGAGGGCCAGGGCTTTCTCCTCAACTCAAGTTTATAAATTTTTGATTGGCTTGTGAGGCCAATAGGGATACTTCTTGTCTAATTTGGTTTCTGGGAAGACTTCATTCAGGTCCTCAATGGTCATCTGATCAAACGAAATTATGTTCTTCATCTTCTCCAGCTCTTTTTCATATTCTTCAATCCTGGCCTTTGAGAGGGACAAAAACTCAGCACAGCTTTTCACATCTTCTTTTTCCTCAGCATCCACCTGGACAGTGTATTTATCCTCTGACACAGGAAACTTCGGGGCATTAAACTTCTTCTCAAAGTCATCTACCAAGCCAGCCTTTGCCACACTGGCCTTGTAGTAAGCCCAATCGATAGCAGGTGGTTTCTCAGGAAGAGTAGCCAACCTGGAGGTAAGCATCTCATTCCAGGATTTCAGGGAGTTGGCAATGGCCTTCTGGTTTTGGAGTATGATCTCCCCAAAAGCTACCCTGTCAGTGGTTTTTAGAGCAAGATTTTGCCCAGCCATCTTGAGATCCTTCACCGACCCCGGCGGCCCGCAGTCCACAGCCTCCTAGACCTTTTGAATCAAAATCTTGTAGGCTTCAGGATAAGTATGTATGTATGTATGTATGTATTTATTTATTTATTAATTTAAAAAGATTTATTTATTTATTCATGAGAGACACAGACTGAGAGAGAGGCAGAGACATAGGCAGAGAGAGAAACAAGCTCCTTGTAGGGAGACCGATGTGGGACTTGATCCCAGATCCTGGGATCATGACCTGAGCTAAAGGCAGGTGCCCAGTCGCTGAGCCACCCAGGCATCGCAGGGTAAGTATTTTAAACAAAATAGTTATCAAACTACTTACTCAGGTAAATCTTACTGTCACTAAACTTCGGGAAAAGAGGAAGAGTAATTCCACGGTTGAGGGAATACTATAAACTGGAAAATAAGTTATATTTTGGGAGGTGAGTAGTCTGAGACTTTTAGACCATAGATATGTGAAAGGAAATAGTGAGGGATGAGATTGGAATGGCTGGCTTCTGAAAGACCATAAAAAACATATTAAGGAGTTTGGATTTTGGGGAGGGGGGTCGGCAATGGTAATTCATTGCAGATATTTTTCTGAATATATGTATTTTATGTACACACACATATAAATACATAGAATAACTCTTAGGTCTCTTGTATAATTAGTAACTTAGAACCTACCATATATATGGATTATTTGATACTTAAATGTATTAAATCTGAGTTAATTTAATTAATTTTCCAATAGCCTTGTTTTTTTTTCACATCCTGTAGGTGATTTATTTTGCTCTTATAACCATCTTTGTTACATGTGTTTTAGATCATTTCTCTGCATGAATTACATGTTTATCACATCCATTCCCACAAATAACATTGTTCTCAATGAAGCAAGTAGATAACATTCATTTAATCATGTATATATGATAGTTTTATATATATGCATATATTATTCATTTATTTATTTATTTATTTACTCATGAGCAGCACAGAGAGAGAGGCAGAGACATAGGCAGAGGGAGAAGCAGGCTCCCTGCAGGGAGCCCAATGTGGGACTCAATCCCAGGACTCCAGGATCACGACCTGAACTGAAGGCAGATGCTCAACTGCTGAGCCACCCAGGTGCCCTTGATGGTTATATATATAAGAGATAGAATGATACAACATTGTATACATTTAAGGTATGCAGTGTGTTGATTTGATACATTTATATATTGCAATATGATTGCCTCCATAGCCTTAGGTAACACGTCTATCATGTCACATAATTATAATTTCTTTTCTGTGATGAGAATAATTAAGATCTAATTTCTGAGCATGTTTGAAATTTATAATACCATGTTGTTGACTGTAATCACTATGCTGTGCATTATATCTCCAACAAGCCTTGGTTTTCATATCAAATCTTTCCTACTATTTTTCTGTCTATTCACACAGTCTTTTAGACTTTCTCCATAATTCTTTCTTATTGAAATTCTATTTAAATTTCAAATTGATGGGAAGCCCCGGTGGTGCAGCGGTTTAGTGCCACCTGCAGCCTGGGGTGTGATCCTGGAGACCCGAGATCAAGTCCCACATCGGGTTTCCTGCATGGAGCCTGCTTCTCCCTCGGCCTGTGTCTCTGCCTCTCTCTCTCTCTCTCTCTCTCTCTGAATAAAGAAATAAAGAAATCTTAAAAAAAATTTCAAATTGAAATCACAATTCAATAATGAATTATTAGAAACTTCAAAAATTCATAGTTTCATTTCAAGCTTAGGGAAATTATTGTTCATGGATTTTTAAAGATAATTCATTTTGTTAATGTAAGCACTCAGTCTAGTAGTAACTGCTGAAGAATCTCATTATTTGTAATGCCCCATCTAAAATCATGGCCATTCATCTCTTCTTACTGTTTTGCCCACTCTGTTAGAAAGTTTCACTTACCCTGATAAAATATTGCCCCCATCCTAAGAAATATATATATTTTTTACAGTATTTGATATAGGATCACAGTCCAAGGGAAGGTGCTTTCCATTTACTGAGCATCTATTATGTGTCAATCATTGTACTAGAAATTTTATTTATATTTTTAAATTTATATTAAGTATCTTCAGTATTTTATTTTTTTAAAAGATTTATTTATTTATTTGAGAGAGAGAGAAAGCATGAGTGGGAGAAGGAGGGAGAGGGAAAGAATATCCAAGCAGACTCCCTCTAAGCATGGAGCTGGACACAGGCTCCAGATGGCGCTTGATCTCACAACCCATGAGATCAGGACTTAAGCCAAAACAAAGAGTTTGATGCTTAGTCAACCGAGCCAGCCAGGTGCCCTTATTTTCAAGATTTCAAAATACATTATTTCGTTTAATCTTTGCAACCATTCTTTGCAGTAAATATTATCACATCCATTTTACAAACAGCACAATTGAGTCTTGGAGAGGTTCAGAACTGGAAATTTGAGCCAAGGTCTTCTTTGCTTCAAAGTCTTTGTTTAGGAGGAAAACATGATTAAGATTTGGATTTGAAACTATTATAGTTCCGAGGTCCCTGGATGGCTAGATCAGCTAAGCGTCTGTCTTTGGCTCAGGTTGTGATCCTGGGATGCGGGTAGGTGTCCCTGCTCAGCAGGGAGTCTGCTTCTCCCTCTTGCTCTGCATCTCTGCCCCACTCATGCTTTTGCTCGCTCTCTCTCAAATAAATAAATAAAATCTTAAAAAAAACAACATTATAGTTTCCTGCTTCAAGGCAGCATGGGCTTTGAAAATGGGCTTATTGAATTCAGCTCTACTACTTATTAGCTGTGTAACTTGGGCAAATAGGATGAATTTCCTGAACCCAATTCCCCATCTACAAGTTAAATGCGATAATGTATCTAAAGTTTCTGTTCTTTATAGATGCTTTATAACCCCTTTGTATATGTATATAGCCAGCTTTAAATAATTTATTTCTATTTAGTTTCTCATTGTCTATGCAATGTTTCCTCAAAGAATTCTAGAGGAAATTAAACAAGTTTGATTTCCCTACAAAATTTGTATTTCCTTTAGTCTATCAGTTTTTACTTTTTCAAGAGTGCAATGATTCTTTTTATTATAGATTCCACCAGACTGCCTGGCATGGATGCCCTTCCTTAATAGGAGTTAGTGTTAAAATATCACCCTAGCATAGAATCCCATCCAGACAACAGGAAATACTTTACACTTGTTGGTTATTTTATTATATACCCTTATATTGCTTCAAAAATTTTAAGTGGATGCCATCTGGCCCTAACTTATGCCTCTGCATGAAGTTTTACTGTCCTTAAATCCATCTTTCATATAATTGGCATTTTACTTCTCTTGTTAAGAATCTTTCAATTAGGGATCCCTGGGTGGCGCAGCGGTTTAGCGCCTGCCTTTGGCCCAGGGCGCGATCCTGGAGACCCAGGATCGAATCCCACATCGGGCTCCTGGTGCATGGAGCCTGCTTCTCCCTCACCCTGTGTCTCTGCCTCTCTCTCTCTCTCTCTCTCTCTCTCTCTCTCTCTCTGTATGACTATCATAAATAAATAAAAATTAAAAAAAAGTTTAAAAAAAAAAAAAAAGAATCTTTCAATTATTCTCTATCGTGTACAAAGTAAAATACAAGTTCTTTAGCATGCCATTTAGGATTCCCTTTGATCT